ATATTTATATGTTTAACAAGTTGTTGGTCAAATATTGAACATATTCCTCTGTTCAATTTCGAGAAACAATAAAATCAAATCTGATCAATTATTGAAGTTTTTTAAAGATTGATTAAATTAATAAATGTTTTCATTTATAATATTGTTTATTAACTATGATTATATATTTTTATTAAAATATAATTCAAGTATAAACTAGATATTTTTATTTTTTTTAAAAATTTCAAAAGGCAAACGTTTTTAAAAAGATTGAGATTGCCCAGGTTTGAAAGACCCTATTTTTAATCTTCATCATATTGTATTCTATTATATTTAATTAATTGTTTTTTTGTAATTTGCTTCTGATAAAGAAAAAAAAAGAATTATTAAAAATTTTTAAATAAAAAATTAACGTCTTGCCTCAATTATTTCAAAGTATCACTGAATTTTTTCAAGTATCTTTAAGAAAATTTAAAAACGAGTTTTATATGAACAAATTTATTAACATTTTTAGAAAAATTGGCCCAAGATTTTCATACACAGCCAAATTATTTATTAAAATAAATTCTAAAAAGTTTTATTTACAAATTATTTAATAAAAATCTCTGTTTAATTCTGAGAAAAATATTAATTATTACTATTTGAAAAAAATTTTTATATAAATTTGATAAGCATAAATCTCTTATTCCCAAGGTGAAATAATGATTCTTACATTTCAAAACAAATCAACAAGGTTATCATGCCTTTGAACAAGCTTCGTTAGGGGCTCGATACCATTATTTGATTTTTTTTTACAATAATTATTTTCTTTGAATTAGCTTCCAAATAAGAATTTTAATATTAACTAATATGATAATTCTAAAAGCACAATAAACCGAAATAATGGTTGGAAAAATGTCATTTTCATTGTCAATAGACATTCACAAGTATTGATCCAAATAAAAAAATAATAAGTTAATTCAAATAAATATCATATTAATGAGATATAATTAGTGAGTCTTAATTTTTAAATATTAAAAATAAATATTCACAATTAATGTTTTAAAGAATTATCTTCATAGTAATTTTGTGCTATTTGAAAGTAAATATCTTCTTGTATACTTATTATAAAAATATAAAAAAGAACATTTAACCTATTTATTTTAAAATCCTTGCGAGATATCTCTTTGTTATTTATATTTTTTTAATTTTCTTAAAGATACTTGAAAAAATTCAGTGATACTTTGAAATAATTGAGGCAAGACGTTAATTTTTTATTTAAAAATTTTTAATAATTCTTTTTTTTTCTTTATCAGAAGCAAATTACAAAAAAACAATTAATTAAATATAATAGAATACAATATGATGAAGATTAAAAATAGGGTCTTTCAAACCTGGGCAATCTCAATCTTTTTAAAAATGTTTGCCTTTTGAAATTTTTAAAAAAAATAAAAATATCTAGTTTATACTTGAATTATATTTTAATAAAAATATATAATCATAGTTAATAAACAATATTATAAATGAAAACATTTATTAATTTAATCAATCTTTAAAAAACTTCAATAATTGATCAGATTTGATTTTATTGTTTCTCGAAATTGAACAGAGGAATATGCTCAATATTTGACCAACAACTTGTTAAATATATAAATATTACATGGTATAAAGGAATTTCTAAAATCTTGGGCCATTTTTTTTTCAGACACTTCTATTTTAGTATTAAAGATTTTTGTCATTGATTATAAAGCTATATCTAACATTTATTTAAAAAAATCATATAATAAACTATTTCCAGCAAAATGATTCATTTTGAAAATGAATAAAGCTTATTTTTTTAAGGTACAAATCCAGTACGTTTAGTAACCGCAATTTTTTTTGACATTCTCAAAGAATAAAATGACATGTTAAATAAAAAACGATTATTTTCATCCATTTCATATAACATGTCATAATGTTTATTTAAATTGTAAAATAAGTGTCAAAAACAAACCTAGTCAATTTAAACTTTTTCAGAGACATGCAACTATTCAAATAATAAACGTTCTCCTATTCAAAAAATAACGTACGGGATTTGTACCTTAATATTTTTCTGTTAATTTTAAACTAGAGTTTTTCGGGTAAAAAAAGTGAAAATTTACCCGAGTAAAAAAATGTTAACTAAAAAAAAAAAAAAAAAAAAAAACGTTAGAGTAAAATTTTTTTCTCGAAAAAAGTTCGAGTAATAATTTCGAGGAAGACCGTTTAATTATCCGAGTTTACCCGGGACTCCTGAAAGGCATACCTGAAAAAACGAAATATTTTGGTTAAAAATTTTCGCCCGTATTAGGGTAGAAAATTTTGTTATCAAAAAGATATTTTTTTTAATGTAATTGTTCATATATAAATAACAAAAACGATTTTAAATAAAAATCAAAAACATATTATCTGAAAAATATTGGCATTCTTTCTCGTAATTAAGTATTGTGTGATTTTTTTGAAATTTTTGAATGAAACCATATTTTATATTTTATCCAACTTTCTCGTCATACATTCAATTTTTTTTTTTCTAGATCCAAACTATTCTTTTGATTTCCTAAGTATTAAAAATGATAAAACTCATTACAAAACGAATTTTAATCATTTTTTTTTTTTTTTTTACATTTCATTCTTGTTATATAAATATTCATAATTAATCAAATTAACTGGAAATAATTTTGATGATTTTTTAATTGGTTTTTGCAATTTCAAATGGAAAAAGATATATGATAATTATTTTATTATCATTCGATATTTTCATATATATTTTTTTTTTCAAAACATGATTATATTTAAATAATTGATCTGGTAACTTGAAATATTTGATCAATGAAAAAATTTGTCAAATTCAATGATGTTTTTTTAATTTTATTATTCCATTTATATTGTCATTTATGAATATTTATTCATGTTGAAATTGTTCGACGATGTTTTTCATTTTTTTTAGTATTTTTTTGTTTTTTCCAAATCAATTGAGATATGATTTTTTAAATCTTCAATTTCTTTTAGATGCGTATCAAACCATTTTATTATCAAGACTTTCCTTCTGTAAATGTTTCTTTCAAGTTTTATACATGTTAATTCACTAATTATTTTTGAAATATTGAATAACGTATGCAATGAAATTTCATTTATTTGCTTCCCACATATGTCTTCAATAAAAACTTTACCTTTGCTGTTTTTTACATCAAAATCACCAAGTAATACATTTGATACTGTTTTCTCAGAATAATAATACCTCGAATAGCCGTCTTCAATTCTTTCCTTTCGTTGTTGAACTCTAATTCGGCGCATGACTATTTTGGATCGATTTTTATTTGTGCTTGAATTAGTACACTCGGACATTTTGATTATATTCAGTTTGAATTTTGACTTTTCAAAGTAATTTGAAAAAAAATTGAAAAACTTTTTCTCCAATGCTTTTAATAAGATAATCAAATAAAAAAGACAAAAATTAATTAAAGAGAAAGAAAAAGATAATAAAACATTTAACCAAAGCTATTTTAAAAACGATACGTCACTTTCCTTCGTGTTTTTAAAAAAATTCTATGAAAAAGTTGAACTTTTTAAATGAGGCATCTTAAATTAAAATGTCTTGTTTTCTCAAAAAGCGTCAAAATCTCAAAAATAAAAAATATTTGAATAACTTGTATGTACATTAAACATGCTTTTTTAAATATATTTGCTTCTATTTAAGAATTAATTTCATTGATAAAAAAAAAAAATTATGTAATTATATAGATCCAAATTATAAATCAATAAATTCGCAAAATAATTACATAAACTTTATAAATATATTGCTTATAATTATTTAATTGATCAATTGACCTAATTAAAGATTAAAATCAATAATGTTAGTATATTAATTGATTCACTAAAATCTCCTGGAATTATTGAAGATAATGCTTCAATCAAATAAAAACTACAATATATATATCATGATATGATTATATAATATAATCTAAATTTTCAAACCTTTTTTATTTTATTAATGATTCTCTTAATACATCAACATTATCCATATTGCTACATTTTTGTTTTGATATATTTTTCAAAAGTTTTAATGCAATTATTCTGGGTTATTTTTTTTTTTTTTTTTTTTTTTCAAATTGAATTGAAAAGTTTTTTTTTTTTCCTATTTTTATTAAAAAGTTTTAATAATTCCATTTTTATTTGGTCAAAGCAATCTATAACATTGAATAAATGATTTATTATAATAAAATAAATAAATACTATATATGCATATGCCCCAATTAATTCTCTAAGATGAGGTGAATTTTTCAATTCATTATATTAAACATAGGTGAACTAAAGCGTCAAATTTCCTAAAAACTGATACACTTTAAATATGTTTTACTTCTCAGAATATACTATTGAATGATATAAGTTTTATTGGTATTCACACGTCGGAAACCTGAAAAATTTTTTTAAAAATTTTTTATTCAACTATAAACTTTTTCAGAGAATAATCTATTCAAATATTAACAAATCATTTTTAGAGAGCGCTAATGAATAAACTTTTTTTTTTATCTATAAAAAATTGTTTTATATATAAGAGACAAAATGAATATCTGGTTATTTTTTATTTTTATTGACCTAAAAAAATTGAAAGGATTGGCTCACCTATAAAAAAACTATTAAACCAATCGACCAAATGTTCAATGAAATACATTCAAAATCTTTTTCAATTATCAGCTCATTCATAAATCAGATTTCTTAAATTTACTTGTAAACATTATAATTAAAAAAATAATTATGAATACTTTTCCCCTTAAAAACATAAAATTCTTCTCATTTATATTCTTTGAAAATAATATGCATATGAAAATCAATAACATGGGCAATTTTTTTGGCATACTTTTGTTAATTTCATCTACATTATCATATTTTTTATTGAAATATGAGCAGAAAACTTCATTCCAAATGTTTTCGTTATTATTTAATTTACTTTTTAGCAAATAATCTTTTCATACAAAAAAAAGATTGCGAATATTATAGGTTCATATTTTAATAAGAATCAACAAGGTTGTTTGGACCGAGCGGTCAAAGGCACTGGATTCAAAACCCAGGAATCATGGGTTCAACTCCCATAACAACCATTTTTTTGATTTTTTTTTCACCAACCTCCACTTAAACTTAATGGAATTATAAAGTATTTTAATTATTTATTCTTTTAGCTTCTTGAAATTTATAATACCAGCGCTTCAAAATTAATAACCTAACCATAAAGCCTCAATGAATCAACGCAAATGAATTGATATTTCTTTGCTTTTTTTTTTTTTTTTTTAATTATTTAAAACACGTGGCAAAAAAAAAAAAAAACAAACTATATTCACTCAATTTCCTTGGGTTCAAAAACCCAAAAACCGCAATTTTTGTTTTTGTGGTGGGTTTTTATTTTAGATATTATATGTAAGTCGGTTGGCCTCTATATATCATATAAACCCAACAAAAACTAAAATTGTAAAAAAAATTATATCGAAATTATTTCATATTTTAACAATACATTTTTAACACTTTATATTTTGCAGCATTAAATATTTATATATAATTTTAAAAAATATCACGCGCTCACGGTAAAATAATTAAGATATCTTTGTTTTTGTTATTTTCATTAAAAATCTTGGGTTTTGATATAACTATTTATTTGCATAATGAGTTTTATATTTTTTCAAATGTAAATTTTAATTACTAGCAAGACCATATTTATATTCTTTCATTTTTTGATTTGTTTTTATAGATATTTTGCAAATATAAAATTTATATTTTATGAGACCACTATCAAAATTTAAAATATTTCAGGGAAATCAATGAGTTATCACAAAATTATTTTCATATAAAAATTTTAACTGAGCTTTTTTTTGTATTTATTTTTATAGATATAAAACATATTAGGGATTAATTTTAGAATAGTTGTATTTTTAGAGAGTAATTCAATTTTTTCATCACAATATTTGGTGGGCCAAAATGGTATGAACAAAAAAACGAATAAATTGAGAGAAGCATTTTAAAATTGATAATATCAAAATCTTTAATATATTATGTTTATTTCGATAAGTATTTAAAAAAGCTCTATTTTAATAAACCATATAAATATAATACGTATTATTTTACCAAAGTTTTTAGGTATTACTTTTTTATCTTTGTAAAAAATGAATATATGATTTTCAACTCATATCATTTGCAAATAAGTAAAATTTGGTACGCAAAATAGTCTTTTAACACGATAAATACGTTAAAAACAAGTAGTAAAAGATGATTGAATAGCTTTTCAAAACTGAAAATTTGTTCCATCTTTTGTAGAGCAATGCTTATAAAATAACCAATTATACAAAGGTGAAAGCTTGTAGATTACATCATATTGCTGCTTGCTTTTTCAAATTTTGAATCTTTTTAGAGTTATGAAATAACTGAGATTGTACTCATTTGTGGCGATTCTTAGCAGTGTAATCTTTCTTAATAATACCGCCACTTGATAATAATTTGCATTTTCATGCATAAATTTATCGAATTTCCTTTGTTTTTGATGAAAAATATTTTCATTACTTTCTCATTAAAATTATCATAAACCATTGAATTTTTGTTTTTTGGGTTAATTTTGGGCTTAAAAATGTTTGATAATATCTCAAAACGTACCGTTAGAAAATTTAATATTTTAATAAATGTATTAAATAAATATATCATTAATAATAAATAAATATTCTATATATGCAAATAGTCGGAGGTCAAAGAGATAAAATATTAAGTCTAAATCATTTTTTAAAGATTTAGATTTGACTTGGTTTGTTTGGGTTTCGTTTCTTTTGGGATTACCTAATTTCTTCGACCCAAACCCACAAAAATCTGACATTTTTTTGGGTTTCTAAGAAATTGAGTGATTGGAATTTTTAGTTTGATCAACATTTTTCTTATTCAAAAATGGAAAAATTTTCTAAAATAAAATTTTTTGATCAAAATTTTTTCTCTCAATTTTTCATTAATGGAAATAAATATGATATTATATATCATTTTTTATTTATACAGCTAAAAAAAAAATGCAAAATTCAGATAAAAACAAAGAAAGGCTTTTTAGAATCCAAAGAGAAATGCAAAGAAGAATAGATAATTCACATCAACTTGTAAATTATCGTTATATTGGAGGAGCTGATTTGACAGATAGAGATGGAATGATTGTTGGATGCTTTGTTGTTATTGACTGTCAAGATAATTTTAAAATTATCTACAAGAAATGCACTGAAATGAGAGTCACTGTTCAATATCAGGCCGGATTATTGTGCTTCCGTGAAGGACCAGTTGTTGTTGCATTATACCGCGAATTCAAAGAGAAATGCCCAAATATCAATTTGGATTTAATCATATGTGACGGAAGTGGCGAATGGCATCCACGTGGTCTTGGCCTTGCAAGTTATGTCGGTGTCGAATTACAAATTCCAACAATCGGCGTTTTCAAAAACTTTTTATACATCGGTTCTCAACATAACAAAGAAGAAATAATTGAGGAAGCACACCAACAATGCATAAACAATGGCGATTTCATCATTATGGAACACACAATCAGAAACGGATGCAAAGTTAGCTGTGCTGTAATGAAAACTGAATACGGCAGATATTTCAATCCAATTTATATCTCTCCAGGAAACCTCATTGACTTGAACAGCTCAATTGAGATCGTTAAACGATTATGCCGTTTCAGGGAACCAGAGCCAACAAGGCTCGCTGACAGAATATCTCGTAGGTACATTCAAAACAAAACATCTAAATTTTACTACAGATATTCTTAAGGAATAATTATTTATTTCTTCCTAATTCATGTGATATATATAAATTTTAATATATTATCCTTGTTTGAATAAATACAATATGAAATCAAATAATTATTATTTTTTATTTCAATCATTCACTAATCTCAAATACCAAAAAATTACAGTAATAAAACAAAGTAAGCGGTGAATACAAATTAATATAATTAAAATAGGTCTGCTAAGAAAATGATGATTGAAATTGATTAGGATATGAAAAGTTGGAAAAAGAGTTAATTCAAATACAATATATTTAAGTATATTCTTTTATTTTCCAAATTTTCAAATACTTTTTACCCTCTTCAATAGACTTTTAATTATCAATAATCTCTATTAATTACTAAAGTATTGAAATAGAATAAATATATTATACCAATAATTTAAGTACAACAATAATGCATCATATGAATTATCAGTCGAATTCGTTTAAATTCAACATGAAAAATTAACAATAAGAAAAAATTGAATGCAAAACGATCATACGTTTACACAATTTGGAGTACCGATAAGTCATTATTTTTTATTTATATAAATTATATCTTAAAAAACAATGAATATATAGAAAAATTTATATGATATATTTTTTTAAAATAAATTTTAAAATATAGTATAAACTCTTAATATTGTAAAATTATTTTTTTTTTAAGATATTTAAAAATTTAAAATTGAACTATTTAAACTTTATAAACAATTTGGCTCAAAATTTCTGAACATAAAGAATTTCATAAGAATATCTTTCTCTTCACTTTCTAAAATGATTTCCAATTTTTGTAAACGAAATTTAACAATCAGAAAAGCTGGCCCTGAAGACTGTGACTTTATTGTTAAATTAATAGGCCAGTTATCTCAAATTGCTCTCAATACAAAGAAGATTCCAATTAATCTTGGAATTAAAGAAACTTATGCAGAAATGCTAAAAGATCCAGAACATTATCCTATTTTTGTTGCTGAAGATAGAGATAAAAACAACAAAGTAGAAAAATTGGGAGCGTCAATATCTTCAATCCAATTTATGCTTTATTTAGGTGGTCCCTACTTATATCTACAAGAATTAGTTGTTGATGATAAAGCTCGTGATAAAGGAGTTGGATCAGCTCTTGTTCAACATTTAATTAAATATGCAAAAGACAAAAAAATGGTTGCTCTTGATTTAATTCAACCGGAAAATAATACTGCTTGCCATGAAGAAAGAACAAAATTTTACACCAAAAATGGTTTTGAAATGGGTGGTTGCTATCGTTACATGAATTTCAGAGAATTTGTGAAAGTTGTTGACTAAATTATAAATATTTCTATTATAATTCATTTATCAAAGTAAATAATTCAACATATTTATTGTTTTTCAACATTTTTATACCAATATTTATTGTTTTTCAACAAAATTTTAATATGAATATTCTAAATACTTATTTTCGCTTTTTGTTTAGGTTAAAAACGATTTCATTTTACAAGTAAATTTTTATTGGATGAATAAAAAATGTTTTTATGATGGTCTTTATGAATTCTCACTTCAATTTTTCATTACACAAATTGCGCCAAAATTCCAAAATCTAATTATTGCCTTAATGAAAAGTACATTCAATAGTGACTAACTTGTGCCGTGAAAAAATCTTCAATAGCTTTCAAATTTCCCTAAAAATTAAGATTATTATTACTACATTTTAAATTTAGTTCAATATTGTAAGATTTAACATTAATTATTTAATTGAGGATCAATAACCTTTGCTTATTATGCTGAATTTAACTCGAAAATTTCAATGTATCTCTAAATATTTCTTATTATTATATGATGAAGAAGCATCCAAAAATTAATTTCAGATATTTTAAAGTACTCGTTACCGACATAAATTTGGGCTAGGTTAGAAAACTCAAATACTTTTACAATAGTATAATATTAAAAATATTGCAGTTTTTCACTATTTATTTTTACACCATTTTTATATATTATTATCTTTATTAAATACTTATTTATTTAAAATAATAAAAATCATATCTTACTATTTTTTATTTGAAGAAAAATGCAAAAATAATTTTTATACGTTTTTCCCATTCAAATTTTCTCGTTAATTTCATTGAAAAAATTATCTAAAATCGTTATATTTTTAATTTATTCGTTATTTCCAAAAAATTCAATATTTTACAAAATATCAATTCTAAGGTTAACCTGGGTAATTAATATTGCTTTCACTTTCAAGTAGAATGACTTTTTCTTTACCTTCTATATTATTTCCTTCATTTTTATTTGTAGAATCCTGCATTTCTAATCTGAATATTTTTATTTTATTTCAAATGATATAAAT